AAGAAATTGACCTCTAACCTTCTGTCACGTGATCGGTTTGGCGCCAAACTTTTTCTCTCCTTCTCAGTGGCAGTGGCAGTTTCTTCGTCGCAATCGCTTCATCCACTTCGTTACTCCAGGAACTACTGATCTCGGTAGAACCTCCAAATGTTACCCTACCAATTCTCGTTCCAGATCACAGTTCCTATTCCAGATGACAACGCAATTACGACCAGCGAAGCCAGAGCATAGAGACGACTGAGTGTATTCTTTGTTCTCTCAAACCAACTGCGCAGTACGCATGCGTACATCGGATCAAACCATTATCCTAAAGGGGGTGTTTCTACATGGCAACACCAGCACGGCACCTACTACCTGCCCAACACAGGTCACCTACATGGAAAAACAACACAGCATAAGTTCTAGGCATGTCTATATTCTTCTTCTACATGTTAATCTACAGGAGTGCTTTATGCAATACAATATGCATAAATCATGTTTAACTAGTGCCACAGTCCTCATAAAACCATTGAAAGGCTATATCGCTTTAATTTCAATTTCATTAAAAGTTCAATGACACTAGTGCATACAGATAAAAGAACCTTGTTACACATATAGACCTATTGCCAGTACGCACAGCAAGATATTCAAAAAGCCCATTGCCTTACTTCCTCCAGCTTTTAAACAGCACTCTGTAATGTAATCCTGTAATGTACATGCCATTATATACTTTGATTTTAATCTAGTACAATGTACTTTTAATGAGGTTGGTATTTTAACCTTTAGTGTTGTATTGTAAAAACGTAATGGTTATATTGTCAAGTGTGTTCAAGTGTTTCAAATAAACCCGCATTATTATATACATAACAAAATGCCCTTCCCCCTAACTTGTGGCAGTGCATTACCTTCTCAGAGGCAAACACCTCTTCGTCCATCACTACTCCGGTGATGTTGGATCCGGGCACGTCTTCAGCACCAACAAACATCTCCACACCTGGCATCTGTAGGGCCGCACTCGGGTCAAATGAGCTGGGGGGGGGGGATGGTAGGATTGTTAGCTGCAAAAACTGCAACTAACATCGCTAACATCGAGTGTTTTTTAACACCTTTCTTGTTCTGTATTTAACCAATAGTCAAAAGAACTAGAGGGGCTAAGAACAACAACTTTGGAATTTTATAGTAAAACGTTAAACTTTGTGTGGCGGCGGTTAGTTAATAGTAGGATTTGTCAGGTGCAAATTATTATTGGCCGCAAAAAGACTAGATATACAAATCATGTTCAATTTGATCACAAAGGGTATAGTTAAACAAAGTTCTGTGAAAACAGTCTAGAACAAACCCAGATAATCTAATTAAGTTATGATAACAAAATTTACTTCAAAGACAAGAACTGATGAAAATAATTTTGCAATATTTTTGAGTCACAATTAGCCCGATAATTTACTGTTACAAGTAACATCGATGTTACACAGTACATCATCAACTTACAGAATTTTGGCATGAACCTTTTTGCTGAGCACCAGTCCAACATAGAGCTCACCTAGCAAGAACACAGTCATTATATTAAACAACAGGCAAGTATAGTAAAACGTTGAACTTTATTCCAACACACAATTTTAGGGATCAAATTTTCAGCGACCACTGTCGCCTTCATCAGGATAATTAATGACCAATCACTTCACAACGTGATCTCGCGAGAGTTACGGTTTACAAACAGGCAAGTACATGACTGTATATTCCAATGCCATTAACATAAGAAGGTAAGCAAGTTGCCGTGAAGCTTTATGATGGGCACTACACACACGGGGCTATTTTTCTTCAGGTTAGCAAACACCAGTCTGCACAGTAATACATACACCATCTCTAAATGCTCTCAACAGCCAAAAACACTGCAAAGCTCAGTAAAGTTACAGCATGTAAACTGGGCATAACAAGCACGTCAGCAGAACGTTCTGCACCTACGCAAGACCCATAATGTATTGCCCATAGCACTTTGGCACAACTTCTCATATAATCGCCTATATAAGTTAAACATCCCGTCTGTAGTTTCCATGTTATGTGGGAAACGATATCCTCTGCAACAGACAAAATTCTGATGCAATGTCGACCAAACATCTAACAAAAACCACGAAAAATCAGGGTTTTGCGTAGGCACAGTACGTTCTGCAAATGTGCTAGCATAAAGTTTTAACTTTAAACACTACCAGCTCTCACTCCTCACCCTGTAAGGGCGGCATGTCGTCCGTGTACACGGCCTCTCCTGTTGCATGCTTCAGCGCTGACAGGTGCATGATGGGACGCCCTACAGTATCCTCCTGGGCCTGACCTTCAGGAACTTCCTGCACAGTTGGTCAAGGTCGTTTAAGGAAATTTTCAGGAGAAAGCAGCGTGATTTTACAATCTCTTCTTACATCCTCTTTCTCTTCAGATTCTCAGCATTTCACATTGTAACCAAAATCAATTTCAAATTTATTCTCAGCAAAAATTTTAGTCTCTTAGAAGTTTGATCTCCTCTACTTTTATTTTTCATACACTAGTCTTGTATCAAAACAGTGTGTCCTGAAAGATTAAGGAAGCGGTCCATATCCAGTTGGAACGTGCCGGGATGAATCGCAACGAAGGTTGGGAGCTGCCCAAGTCCTACCTACCCCTACTCCGCAAGGAGGCGGGGGAGGTCAGAAGATCCACACAAGTCTCGACCTAGTGACTAGGTCACTCCTTGAGAAAGGTGTACAGTCGACACCGAAAATTTGGAGGTACGTGTTTTTACCTTTAAATACAGTCACTGATTGAAGAATTTCTACTAACAGTGTGTCCTTTGTCATCTATGTTCTCCCAGTAAACAGTGAAGACAGTTTACATGGAGAGGACTGTTATTAGTTAATACTGAATGTCTATTGTATCCAGAACCATGCCTACCTACTTCTTAATAATGCCTGAATGGATTAATTAGGGTTAGGATCAGGCATGGTTCTGGATACACGTGGACCATCCCCCAGGTCTGTGTCTGAACATGGTCCTGGATAAAGCACATGTTACCTGGTACATCTAGGTACTCAGTGTTAAAGTAAAGACTGTATAGCTAAATGCCGTATGTCCAGCACATGTTACCTGGTACATCTGTGTACTCAGTGTTAAAGTAAAGACTGTATAGCTAAATGCCGTATGTCCAGTCCATGTTACCTGGTACATCTGTGATCCGTGTGCCAGCTCTCTGTGGTACAGGCTGCAGGCACTCCTGTAGGGCGGGGGGACATCCTGGAGAGGGGAAAACACAGACATGTGGTAAGAAGTAACACTTGCTCATCATCATCTTTTGGCCCTGGGATTGATGCGAAGATTGTGTTCAGTAACAAGGACAGGACCTTGCCTGTGTGTGGATAGTGTTCAGCACCAAGGACAGGTGTGTTTGCCTGTGTGTGGATGGTGTTCAGCACCAAGGACAGGTATGTGTACCTATGTGAGAATGGTGTTCAGCACCAAGGACAGGTATGTGTACCTCTGTGTGGATGGTGTTCAGCACCAAGGACAGGTATGTGTACCTCTGTGTGGATGGTGTTCAGCACCAAGGACAGGTGTGTTTGCCTGTGTGTGGATGGTGTTCAGCACCAAGGACAGGTATGTGTACCTATGTGAGAATGGTGTTCAGCACCAAGGACAGGTATGTGTACCTATGTGCGGATGGTGTTCAGCACCAAGGACAGGTATGTGTACCTGTGTGTGGATGGTGTTCAGCACCAAGGACAAGACCTTGCCTGTGTGGATGGCCTTGATTTTATGTTTGGTCAATGTTGCATCAGAAGCTTGCCTGTTGTATACAGTATCTTTTCCGACACATTTGAAAAATACAGACGGGATGTCATCCTTAAATATGTGAATATGACCTTAAACAGAGACGTTTTGCCAAAGTGACTATATTTAATGCAAAGCTGTTCTACATAATGCCATTATAATCTGTTGAACATAGTGCGTCACACAGCACATTCAGCCAACAGGCTTTACAGAACTGTCCCACCTTGATGTTTAGCCTCTGCTGAACAGACAGGAAGAACTTGAAGAAGAAGCTGGTGGTGAGGGTTCGGCGGAACTCGGCCATTCCTCCGGGGACAGACGGGGGCAGCGGCATGTCGTCCTCCAGACTCGAGCAGGCCTCGGGGAGAAGATCGTTGTCCCACTTCCTAACAATGTAGACAACAATCCCCACTTAGATTGTTCTCCCACTTCCTAACAATGTAGACAACAATCCCCACTTAGATTGCTGTCCCACTTCCTAACAATGTAGACAACAATCCCCACTTAGATCGTTGTCCCACTTCCTAACAATGTAGACAACAATCCCCACTTAGATTGTTGTCCCACTTCCTAACAATGTAGACACAACAATCCCCACTTAGATTGTTGTCCCACTTCCTAACAATGTAGACAACAATCCCCACTTAGATTGCTGTCCCACCTCCTAGAGACAACAATTATTAGACAACAATTCCCACCTCCTAAGAACGTGGACAGAAATTCCTGCTTAGATCGTTGTCCCACTTCCTAACAACACTGGCAAAAGTGCCTACTTAGATCGTTGTCTCACTTCATCAATATTATACACACAGTCTAGGAGGTAACTAGCCCATGGTAGCCACTTGGGAATGCCTAATTTCACTTTTCTATTTTATATTCTACCAGTCCTCCTGCAATTCTTGCACTTTTCTACACTCTCGTGTCACTCAGACAATACACAGGAGCAACTTGTGTTTCACTCACAGTCCTGTGAGCCTGTTGGCTGTGTTGCAAGCCATGACGGTGGTGGGAGCCATTCCTCCAAAGGACAGCGCGATGTCACGGATAACGTTTGTCCCCTCCTCAAACCGGACGCGGAACGCGGCGTTCACGATGGCGATGTCATCGTCCCTCCTCCGGGCCTGCTTGTACGCCAGGAAGTACTCATTCTGGAGACGATAGATGAAGATATATACATATATATACATTGTATATTACAAACACACACACACGCACGCACACACAGACACACACACACAGACACACACACACAGATGAAGATATATACATATATATATTACTGACACAAACACACACACACACACACTCACACACAAACAGACACACACACACACACACACACACTCACACACACACAGACACACACACACACAGACACACACACACACAGACACACACACAGACACACACACTCACACGCATACAGACACACACAGACACACAGACACACACACACACAGAAACACACACACAGACACACACACACACAGACACACACACACAATGGAATGATGAATATACTTTCCTGACAATACAGACAGAAGTTCCTGCTTGTACGCCAGGAGTACACATTCTGGAGACGATAGATGAAGAAATGGTGCCAGTGAAGACCACAGATGGATAAATAAGGCAATCCATCAATGAAGACAAACATCACATTACTTGTCCATGGTACTGAAATCTAGGTGCATACATGTAATTAGACCAGTCCTTATCATTAACCATATATGAAATGTCTTCAAACATACCTGTGCTTTACACTAGATGCCACACACACACACAGACACACACAAAAACACACACACACAAAAACACACACACACAAAAACACACACGCACACATACAAACACACACACACACACACACACGTATGGATCAATGTAACTTCCTTGTAATGACACTACTTGATTCGTACCTGAAAAAGGCATCATCATTACACTTCTGTGTGCTGCAAAAAAGAAAGACTAAGTGTGGAAAAAACAGTAGCTGCTCTTTAAGAAGAAGTAACCCACCTGCTTGATGAAAGGAACATCCAGAGACACCATGACCTCCTGAGGAGCAAGAGCGGTCCTCCTGTAGCCGGGGAAGAAGTCGTGGTCCATCCTGACCACACTTTAAGGTAAACATAAAAACAGTAGCTGCTCTTTAAGAGAAGAAGTAACCCACCTCCTTGGTGAAAGGAACGTCCAAAGACACCATGACCTCCTGAGGAGTAAGAGCGGTCCTCCTGTAGCCGGGGAAGAAGTCGTGGTCCATCCTGACCACTCGGCTGCCTCCCTGGTGGGACGCCACCGTCACTGTGCAGCCGGCTGACAGGAAGATGGGGTTCAGGTCAGAGATAGGGCTGGCCGTCACAATGTTCCCTCCGATGCACTGTTGGCAGGAAATTTTTCATATCATTCTACTGTCATTCTTTGGCTCTCAAGTTTTTTTTAATGTTCACCCTGCTGCCTTACATCTAAAACATATTTTTACTTCCTAGCAGTAGTATTCAGGAAGATGGGGTTCAGGTCAGAGATGGGGCTGGCCGTCACAATGTTCCCTCCGATGCACTGTGGGCAGGAAACAAAACTTTCAAGTCATTGTACTTTTATTCTTTGACTCTCATGCTTTGTATGTAACATTTACTGACATGGTAGAGCATTCATTAAATGGTAGAGCAGTGAAAAACACAAAAACAGCATGTCATTTTTTTTTGCCTGATCAACACAAGATGTTAGTGTCCAGTGTCTAAGCTAAGATGAACCGCACCCCAACATTCCTGATCTGGTATCCAGCAAACCACCTCAGCATCTCCACTATGGCAGCAAACAGTCTGGTCTGATGTTCTGTCAACATAACAAATACAAAGGGTAGGACGTTATAGAAATCCGGAAACATTTCAACCATTAATTTATATAAAATTAAAGATGTTTCTCACACATGATGTCAGTCACTCCAGTTTATTTTACCATATTATATAATTTTTTAAAAAGCGCGTAGAAGAAGATATAAATTCTACGCACAAGTATACCAAGAATCTTACCTGGAAGATCAGCTATGGCCTCTGTCAGAGTGTCATTGAGGTAGGTAAGTGTGCATCCGGCTCCAAATGTGATGCCGTGTTCGGTGTACCTGTGGAAGTTGATCTCAGGCAGGTGTGCAGGTGCGATGATCAGGGGGTATTCACAGTTCTTAAACTTCACCTCAACACCTACACAAACACAGTTTTATTGCGTCATTCACTTATTCAGTCACTCACTCACTCACTCACTCACTCATTTTCCACTTTAGCATCAGATTCTGTTCCCTGTCTTCTGAGGATTAGATGTGCTTGCACACCTTTGCTGAGGCTTGATGGCAGTCTGCCATTTGCCTCTATCCTGTGGGTTGATGTTTTATGTAGGTTAAGGTGATGGAAGTCCTCCCTTAAGTTGTCAATCCATCATCAGCATTCACAAGAACAATCTAAATTGTTGCTGCCTAGTACACTAGTTTACTTTTGTTATTATGATTAAAAAAAAGGTGCACTTTGATCTTCTTGGCATATCAAAACTTTGATGTACAGTATCTGAACTCAAACTAACTTTTATCTTCAGGATAAGTCACGATTAAGAGTTTTTACCCTGTTTGAAACCTCAACACAGGACATTTTAAATGTTTCGTTTTTAAAGCTAATACCGATGGTTTTATTGTAGTGGATTTTATGATATGTGTAAATATTTTAGCAACTTTTTCAATCTGATGCATCTGATGAGACTTACATGTGTAACAACGGGCACAATTCAGCCTACATGCAAGTAGTGCTGCAATGTCGATTGAATAATAAACCATTTGATTGATTGATTGATTGATCTTGAAACTAGTCATAAGAATCTCTTTTGATACACACCAACTTCTGAGTTCCCGACCACCAGCTTGGCCTGTGGAAACTTTGTCTTCAGTTCCAGAACCTCCTTGAAAGTCGCAGGTTTGATCCAAGTGACTCGCTCTCCAACAAACTTCAGAGTTGTTTGATCACCACCCGCAGATTTCTGTATAAAAGATATGATAGAATTGGTCTATATAACAGACAGAAAGACATAACAGAGTTTTTCCTTACTTGCACACAATGGTACAATACCCTGGATCTAAACAGACACATGCAGCCTTTTGAAAAACCTATAAAGAGTTAAAAACAGTCATGTGATAAACAATGCTGCCATTTACCATCAGCTCTGGTGGGAAGATTGGCTCCTGGGTGGGGTCAAGGGGCCTGAACTCTGACACCCGGAACAACTCAGTGGAGACCTGGGGAATAGGTCAAGATTAGGTCACGTGAAAAAAATCACTACAGTTTGAGAAAAGCAGGAGAGTAGCAGTAGCTTGCAGCATGACTTACATTCCCAGCATTTCCACTGGCCACATGCCCATTGGCTGCCTCTCCATTCTCTGCGTGCCCATTGGCTGCCTGCCCATTCTCTGCGTGCCCATTGGCTGCCTGCCCATTTTGAATGTTACGGCAGCAGCCGTTCCCAGCCATGCCTCCACAGCAGCCCTGGAACTCCTAGAAATTGTGCAAAAGTACAGCGCATCAATTCTGATTGAAATACCTCTTTCTACTGCCTTTTACCATTCAAGGTAGCTGTCCCTGGAAACTCTTGCACAAAAAAGGCAAAAAATCCATGGTTACCGTACTGAACTCTGAAAACTGAATCTGTGCCTGGTGCTGACAGCCATCAACAAAGCTCAATATAATGTTAACATTCCAGGATAAACATCCCTGACACTGGCTCTATGTGTTAACTGAGTCTAAAAATTGAGGCAGTCATAAATTAAGGCAAACATATTATACTGTTACCTGTCCATGGTGCTGAAAGCTATGTAACGTTACATATGTGCAATTAGACCTATTTCAATGTACAATGCATGAACAAGAAACACCTTCTACTGCCTTTCATCTAAGATGAAGGATAAAAAATATCCCTGTCACTGAACATAGGAAAACTGAGACTGTCCCTGGTGCCATCAACAAAGCCAAACACACCTGTCCATGGTGCTGAATGTTATGTGTACATACATATAATTAGCTGTCCCTGGCATTGAATATCATCTACACACATTCAAACACACACACACACACACACATACACAATGACACACACACACACACACACACACACACACACACACACACACACACACGCGCAGAGCTGTCCCTGGTACTGAATGTTACTCACACAAGTTTTAACAACATAGCAGGCAAGATGTATCTGTACCTTGGTGAAAGTCTTGTATCCCTCCAAGATTGGTCTGTAGCCAGTACACCTGCACAGGTTA